AAGATATGGTTGTTGAAAATAAGGTTGATATGGGACATAAGGATGGTTTGGTTGAAGAAATGTGGGAAACTTTTGAATATTTGGATTTGGATAAGTTGGCTTAAAATTTTTATCTTGCTTTACTTTGTTTTGATTTAAATTTTGACAGGGTTCATCAAAAAGATTTCTTTCTTGTAATATGTTAATTAGTGATCTTAAATCTGGAATTTCGCAATTTATGATTCGAATACAAATATTGGTAGGAAGTTTTTGAATTAGGTCGTCAATACTTGTTTTAATTAATCGATTATATAGTATTTTTTCATCTTGATTATTTTCTAATTCTAGCTTACTCATCAATGTCTGCCTACGGTGTTCTGCTTCTTCCAGAAAAGCTCGTACGTTGCCTTTGAACGGAGTGTTCCTGAATTCCTCCAGTAGAATATGGTTCTTGGTCTGCGTCTTGAAGTTTAGGATTAGCTGTTTTCGGAGATCCGTCCATGTAGTTAGGTTGGTCATGCCAAGAGATAACATGACTTCACTGCTGATGCAGCTTTCAACAAGTCCAAAGAGTATTGATCTCTGCCTCGTTGGTGGTGTACAGGGCCAGTATATAATCGATCCGGTTGATGAACGTGTATAAAGCGTTTTTATTTCCGGTGAACTTTTCAACATTTTTAAGTTGATTAATCACTTGGGTCATGTTGGTATCAGAAAGGGGTGTTGTTGGGTCGCCTTCCATTTTGTTTATTTATTTAATTTATTATAATTATATTTTATTTATTTTTTGTTGTCGGTTTATTTTATTTTTATTGATTATTTAGTACGTATGTTGGGGTTTGTATGCACTGATAGCACTTTCGAAGGTTTGCGAGAAAACCAAATGTTTCTGGAATTATATTCTCTTCGAATTCTATAGCGTCTTCTTGAATTATTTTCAAGTTTTTTGCACAATCCGCGGCTTTGGCAATATGCGAATTTCGGTATACACGTCACTGTCGAGGTTTTTATTTTAAAACTTGACGCAATATTGACCATCGCGTGGGTTGCCTTCGCGTTTGTTGTTTAGCGGATAGCAGTAAACGGGACACAAGAATTAATAACTTAGTTATTGCATCAGGATCCACAATTTATTACTATCCTACCGGCTGCGCCACTAAGATAAAACTGTTACGAGTCGAATAAATGCTGCGACATATACTAACAGCAACGCTAATATGATTTAAAAGACGAAGTCAAGGTTGGATTATGACAACTTGCTTTATTGAATATCAACTTAAGACTGACTATTGTGTGTCTATTGACACGTATTTATGCACTGTGTGAGGCTGTGTGAGTGTATGAGTATTCAGTGTTGGGCATTTCACCACACAATTCCAACACATCATCCGAATACTAGACCTCGGTCAACGAAGCTGCGCGCCTTGCAAAGACGAATCAGTTTAATGACGCGACCATACAGCTTCTGAATATTGTAGACGTAATCAGTATGATTATGTCACTATATAGATGTATTATTGTCACCTTCCCCTGTACCCAAAGATATAACACTTAGTATAAGTTTACTATTTATTTAGTTTTAAGAACATTATTATACCCGGTTTTTTTTTTATAGAATCTGCACTAAGGTTAGACCTTAAATCTGTCAGCACAAGCTTAAGAGCAGAAAATGCCCTTTCCACCGAAACCTGCGTGGCAAGCACCGAGTGAACTATCTTGGCAAGACGGTACAATCGTGGATAAGTAAACTTTTTGTCCTCCCAATAGCACATAATGTCCACGTTTAAGTCTATTGGCCTCTCGGTTCTGGCCAATTTGAGCTCCGGTTCGTCTTCTTCCTCAGACTCTTTACAGTCAGACGCAACCTCAGTGGAGTTCAAATAGGCGTTCAAAAATGAGCATGTGCTTTGCGATGTCAATTCAAGCCCATCGTCCTATCTATTAGGCTCACCTTTTTATTTAAGGCAAGTATTTGGCGCATCAATCCTACCAAATGATTTTTGGTTGCCGCCAGCTGAAGGGGATTCTTCAGAAGAATCCGCCGACTTCTGGGATCCAAATAAATTGAAGAGAGAATGACTTCATTTGTTGTGAATATTTCCTCACGCTTCTCCAAGCTTTTGGCTAGATCCTCACTATAAATGTTGCTTGCAATAGACTTTATCATTAATTTGGGAAATGTGACAATAATACATCTATATACACATAAACATATATATGTACAGTGATTATGCTATATTTGTATGTGTCTCCCCTCACTTTACCTGCTGACTAGGTGCTGGCAAGTGCACAGGGCGAGTGCACTGGACAAGCGCCCAAGCATATAATTAAATACATATGTATATCTACATATATATGCACATATTTACATACGTATTATACATCAAATGAAAGGTATTAATGCGTAGATCATATATATATAAAAATATATGATCTAGCTCTTTTAGTTCAAGAGATATCTCAATTCAATTTTTATTTTCAATTTTTATAATAAAAATCAAATCATAATTCTTATTTTTGATTTTTATTATAAAAATCAAAGATAAGAGTTATGATTTGATTTTTATATAAAAATTGTTCTGTAATAATTATTTTTGATTTTTATCAAAAAAATCAATCTTAATAATTATACCCTGAACCCATTGAAAATGGGAAATCAGGGTATAATGGTTTTGTGAAAAGTATGCAACAGGCAGAAGGAATCATCGCAGACCCCATAAAGTATATATATTCTTGATCAGGACGACGAGCTGAGTCGATATAGCCCTGTCCGTCTGTCCGTCCGTCCGTCCGTCCGTCCGTATGAGCAAAAGGATCTCAGAAGATATAAAAGCTAGAGAGCTGAAATTTGGCATGCATACTCGTGTATACCATAGGCAGTACGAGTTTACTTTATTTTTTCGATAACTCATCCGATAACTTGTTTATCGAGAATAATCGAAAAATCGACTTGGTTTTTTCAGCCTAGTTTGAACACTTTTAAACCTGGAGACTTCAAATTTGCGTTGTATATAGAGTTAATGGACACAAAGATTTTGTAATTTACAGATTTTGGATACCACGCCCCCTTCGCAACCAATTTCAAGTACTAGAAACTTGTGGTTCGGAATGTACACACATTTTCACCATATGATTACGCTCTAAAAGTTTCATTAAGATCGTGTGTCTACAAAAGAAATTATTCAACAAATAAATTGTCATAATATTGCCCACATTGCAGCGCAGCCCAAGCGCAGCCGCTGCTTACTGCACAGTTAGCAGAGCACGTGCTTATAAGTGCATGTGTATGTATGTGTACATAGAAGAAGTGCAGAATGATTAGAATATCAGCTTGGAGGGTTCAGGGTATCTCCTAGTCGAGCAGTCTTGACTAGAGCCATCTTACTTGTTATATATAATTTTTTTTTAATTTATCAAAAAATAATAATTATTTTTTAATTTTTTGCTATAAAAATTATAATCGTTACGGTCCCTGATTTTTATACCCTGAACCCATTTTCAATGGGAAATCAGGGTATAATGGTTTTGTTGAAATGTATGTAACAGGCAGAAGGAGGCTTGGCAGACCCCACAAAGTATATATATTCTTGATCAGGGCGACGAGCTGAGTTGATTTGGCCCTGTCCGTCTGTCTGTCTGTATGTATGAACGCGTCGATTTCAGAAGATATAAGAGCTAGAGACTTCAATTTTTTTTTTTAAATGTTCGTAATTACAGCGCGCATATCAAGTTTATCATTAAAAATCGATAACTCATCCCGATCTTTTTTTTTATCGATAAAAAACCTTATCGAAAACCAGTTATAAAATTATATCTTCTACACCTTTATTGCTAGAGTCTCCAAATTTTTAATGTATGCTTATATGCAATTTATACAATTTCGGTTTTTGTTAAAATTTACCCCCCACCTCTAAATTCACCCCCTCACCCTCACTTTTGTAAAAAGCGTATTTCAAATACTAGAGACTTGTGCTTTGGCAATTACATGCATATTCATGTTATAATCATAATCTAAAAGTTTCATGAAGATCGTACGTCCATAAAAAAAGTTATTAAACAATTAAGTTCTCATAGTAAGCGCACACTGCAGCCCATGCGTGTTTATGCATGGTTGCTTGTGTGTGTATGTGTTTGTGTATGTGTGTGTGTATGTGTGTGTGTGTATGTGTGTGTGTGTATGCGTTTGTGTATGTATGCGTGAGTGTGTATGTATGCCTGTGTGTGCGTACGTGCGTGTGTGTGTGTGTGTGTGCGTGTTTCTTGTGTAAGCTGAAAGTCGCGACAAAGTATTGAAATATCTATTGCTCCAAGGGTTCAGGGGATCTCGTAGTCGAGCAGTCTCAACTAGAGCTTTCTTACTTGTTGCTCTTGATCTCGCTCTGCGCTCTTTGTTCTTTGCTATTCAAAGCCTTCGCTTCTGTCGGCGGCGGCGTCGCTGCATCTATGCGCTTAGAGAGAGCGTTGCATTGGTTTAAGCGACGCTTTCGCTCTTAATCGTTTCGGCTGCGCGCATAACTCATTTTTCTCTTAATTGTCAATGCGTCAGCGGCGACGAGAGAGATGCCGTTAGATTTCCAAAATCGTATTCTGTCCGCGTCCGTTTTGTCGTTTTATGCCGTTGCTATGTAAACTACCCTGTGCTATTACTACGACGGGTGTACCTGACTTGTTCCAAATAAACATATTTTCTGTATCTTTGCTATTTTATTGAGATCGGGGTGAAAAAAGGATTAAGGGAACAGTTTTCTCGAGGTCGGAGTTGGGGAAAAATATGATTCATCACACCCCCCCCTTTGTTGCCGAGGGGGTGTTTTGCGGGTCCGTTGGCGTCGCTGCTTCCCCTAGCCGCAGTATGGCTGGTGGTCCGGTGCGATACCGGCAGATCCGGTAGCGCTGTCCGTCAAATGCCCTGGCGTATCGGATGCGCTTCGGGCCGGCTCCTGGATCTCTCGTTCCACGTGCGCCATGAGATCGTATGGCAGGGTGGTCTCGGTGGTCAGCCATCCTGCGGGCGTGGCTACCTAGTGGCCCTGAGTTGGTAGCGTGCGCCCGGGTGTCCTAGGGATTTGGGAGGTGCCCTCCTCCGGTGGTGGGTCCTGCTCTGTCTTCTCTCGCCGCCGTCGATGGACATGGTAGCCCTCCCCCACACGGCTGCCCGGGTCTAGCAAGGTTTGGGGTAGGCGGAGTGGGGTGGCTTGCTGGTCCTCGTCGTTCTCCTCAGGGGAGCTCTGCCGGCGCTCTGTTTCCGCCTCATCGTCCCATCCGCTATCGTCGGACAGGGTCCATGTAGGAGTCACGCCTTGAATTGGGGGTGGGGTGCACGAACTGGACGAGGCTGAGGCTGTGGGTGTGGGCGTGGATGGAGTAATGGCTCTGCTGGCTTCGGTGGGGTTGGCGGAGTTAACTTCGGTGGGGGTAGCTGTGGGGTTAATGTCTCTGCTGGCTTCGGCGGGGTTGTCGGAGGTAACTTCGATGAGGGTTGTGGTGGAGGCCTGGGATGTGGTGATGGTTTCAGTGGTGTCGGCTTCGTGGAAGGTAATGGCTGGGGCGTTGGTGTTGGGCGTGACCTTGGATGACTCCGGCAGTGCCCGGTCCAATAATACGGCCAGGTACACCTCTTCAAGCAACCTCTTCTTGCCCGCTGCCTGCCGTTGACTGACTTTATATTGTTGACACGTCGGGCAACATCGAACGTGGATGGCCACGTCTCGGAAGTAGCCGGACCAGTAGTAACGCTGCGCTACTCTCAACGCTGTTTTCCTTATCCCCTGGTGACCTGCCGTTGGTTGGTCGTAACATTCTTGGAGGACTCTAGCACGAGCATCCCGCGGAACACAAAGCTTCCAAGGTACATACTCTTCTTCGGGTGGTCGCCCTTGTGTTCGGCGATATAGTTGGTCGTTCGCTATGATGTAATCGGGATACTGGTTGGGATTGCTCTTGACCTGGGCCATCATCCGTGTCCACCATTGGCAGTGGGGGGTCTCCTCTTTGGTGAGGCTAAGCGTCACAACAGGTTGCCGAGACAAGGCGTCGGCCAACCACTTCAGTGCCAGATGATCTGTTACTACTGTGAACTCGTATCCCTCCAGGTAACAACGCAGTTCCTTCTCAGTGGTGGTGTAGTTTACTTCTGATGGGGCTAGTCGTCGACTGGCATATGCCACCACCCTTTCCTGTCCATCCTCCTCTTGTGTCAGCACGGCTCCCAAACCATGATCGCTAGCGTCTGTTTGTAGGGTGAAACGCTTGTTGAAATCCGGACATGCCAATACTGGTGCTTCTGTCAATTTCCGTTTCAAATCCTCGAACGCTGCTTGTTGCGGGGTGCCCCATTCCCACTTGCGGCCCTTCTTCAGGAGTGCGGTCATTGGCTGTACCACATCGGCGAAGTTTGGGACGAACCGCCGGTACCACGATGCTAGTCCGACGGACTGTCGAAGCTCCTTCACGGTGGTGGGAGGCTTCAAATTCTGCACAGCTATGATTTTATCTGGATCGGTGTGGATTCCCCGGTCACTGATTACGTGGCCCAGATAGGTAATACTTTTCCTGAAGAATGCGCATTTGTCTGGGTTGAGCCTATGGTTGGTTTCGCGGAGGCGGCGGAATACTTCTCGCAAGACTCGCATGTGCTCCTCCAGAGTCGCGGCTACCAACACGATGTCATCCAGGTAGGCGAATGCGTATGGTTCCATTTCGGGCCCGATGATACTGTCCAAAGCGCGTTGGAAGGTGGCTGGAGCGGAATGTAACTCGAATGGCATTACTTTCCAGTAGAAAAGCCCTCGTTCTGGTACTGTAAATGCCGTACACTCCCGACTCTCCTTGGCCATCGGGATCTACCAATAGCCATTCTTTAGATCCAGCGTCGATATATACTTAGCGTGCCGTAGTTTTTCCAGGATATGCGTCATTCTGGGGAGTGGATACGCATCGGGAATGGACCGCTCATTTAGTTGTCTATAGTCCACGCACATACGCCATTTATTGTTCTTCTTTCGTACCAATACTATCGGCGCACTGTGGGGACTCCGTGAAGGTTCGATACAATCCTGTGCCAGCAACTCATCAATTTGTTCGTTGATGATCTTTTGCATGGCTGGATTCTTCGGATAGTAGCGTTGTTTGATGGGTCGATCATCTTTCATAGTTATCCTATGCTCCGCGATGTGAGTGGTCCTTTTGAGGTCATAGAATCGATCGAGCTCTTCCGTCAAAAATGCTACCACATCTGGCTTCCTGGCCTGTGGGGGAGTTCTCTGGACTTGGTTGATAGACTTCCCTTTTCCTCGCCATCGGGATGCTTGCTGCCTGGCCATCGCCCTCGGGTTCCTCATTCCGTCCAGCCTGGGTGACTTGGGTTGTCGGAGTACCGTCACGTTGATTCCCCATCGATGTGGGCCGAAGAGAGACTCCACGGTGGATCGCCGGCGTCGTCGTCTGAGTCCCTTCTCTAATAATCGCGCGATGTTCCCCGCACTGGATAGTGGTCTGCATAGCCGCCATAAAGTCCATTCCTAGGATCAGTTCGTCCACTAGCGTCGGCAAGACGAGTACCGGGATCGAGACTCCCCGAGTTCCCAGCCTTATGTCAGCTCTAACGGTGCGGTCGACTTCGCGTGACGTCCCATCTGCTAAAGCTACTCGGGTACAAACACCCCCGGTTGCCTCCACCGATTCCAACCTCCTTGCCGTATCCGCTCCGACGAAACTCCTCGTCGCCCCTGTGTCGATGATGCCATCCAGCCGGTGCCCATTCACCACCACCGTCGCGACGATTCGACCCTTTTGTATTTGAATTAGTTCTTCCGGTTCTGGGGAGCGGGCTGGCTCGTCTCCGCCACATCCCCTGATGGACGGAGACGGGATTCGTTTCCCGGTGTGGCACTTCGTCAGCAATCCCGCGTCATGATTCCTCTCTGGCCACAGTCCCAACAGAATAATACTTGGGCTCTGCGGCATTCCCTAGAAAAATGGCCTATTTCTCCGCATCGATGACACGCTCTTCGTACGTCTATTGGTACCCCGTCCCCGTGTGTCACTGATCGATTTATCGTGTTGTCCTCCGGAGTCGCGGCGGTGTGATTCGGGGTGTTCCGGAAAGGATTAACATGTCCACGTGGCGCGATAGTTGCGGGTTGCCGATTCCTGGCCGATTCTCTTTGTCCTTCCAACTCTCGTAACTCTTCGTAGGTAACGGCCAGTCGTGTCAGTTCTGTTATTGTTCGGCATTCATCGCGCTTCATATACAGTTGATACGTGGGCAACATGTTGTCGTATGCGCGCTCCAATTGTTCGGCGTCCGTCAGTCCGGCCCTCTGCATCATCACTCGTAAGGCAATGAGGTAGTCCTGAAACGGTTCGCCTACGCGCTGCATACGGGCCCGTATTTCGTCTCCAAGGCGTTTGAAATACCGCGGCGGGAGAAAGAATTGCAGAAATTCGCCTTTAAAAGTTTCCCATGTCGCGCCTTGGAGTCCGCTTCCCCTCAGCCAATCCCGTTCAGTCAATAACTCTGGCATCGCTCGCGGCAAATAGCTGACATCCACTTGGTAGCCTACTGCGCCCGCTCCTCCAGTTGCTCGATGAAACGTAACGGGTCGGTGCGGCCATTAATAATGTAACCCCCCATTTCCGTGGTTGCACTATCTGCCGGGTTGGCGGGTATCTCCTCTGATTGGGCCTATGGTGTTCGCTGGTGTCGATGGTGTCGATGGCTATGGTGAGTCTTGTCCGAGGGTTTTCCAAGGGCGGAATGAGGAGCTGTGTAGGCCCGCTCAACCGGTCTGGCTCGACTTCTGCCTGCCTTTCGTCTTTTGGGGGGTTGGGGCTGGGTGGTCGCGAGTCCGGGGATGGCCGGTTGCCGTAACTCTCGGCCCAGTAATCTAGCCTCTGTTGCACCTCCTCACCGAGATCATCCCTATTGATATATGCGGTTAGTCGCCGCCGCAGCTCGTCCATGAGACCATGTGGTTCCAGTCCCAGTTCGATGAGAATGGCCTCCAACTCCGCCTTTCGCCTATAACTGACCCAGCCTGTATTGCCCGTCATTGCGTGTTGTTATTTGCTTTGATTTCAACGACGAAATTCCCCAGTGGTTTTGGTTGATGGTCCTTGACGATAGTTTTAATGGTTCCCTCGACGATAGGTGCTTTACGATGATGGTGTGAATGTCCAACGACGTTAGCCTATTACCAACGGTGTAAATACTTCGGCTGTACCTCGACGATGATTCCCGTTAATTTATTGAATATCCCACGGCGATAATAATTCTTTGAATATCCCCCGACGATACTTCTACGACGATGATTCCGATTAATTTCTTGAATATCCCACGACGATACTTCTAAGACGATGATCCCGATTAATTTCTTGAATATCCCCCGTCGATACTTCTACGACGATGATTCCGATTAATTTCTTGAATATCCCACGACGATACTTCTACGACGATGATCCCGATTAATTTCTTGAATATCCCCCGACGATACTTCTACGACGATGATCCCGATTAATTTCTTGAATATCCCCCGACGATACTTCTATGACGATGATTCCGATTAATTTCTTGAATATCCCACGACGATACTTCTACGACGATGATCCCGATTAATTTCTTGAATATCCCCCGTCGATACTTCTACGACGATGATTCCGATTAATTTCTTGAATATCCCCCGACGATACTTCTACGACGATGATCCCGATTAATTTCTTGAATATCCCCCGACGATACTTCTACGACGATGATTCCGATTAATTTCTTGAATATCCCACGACGATACTTCTACGACGATGATCCCGATTAATTTCTTGAAAATTCCCCGACGATACTTCTACGACGATGGTTCCGATTAATTTCTTGAATATCCCACGATGATTCCAATTGATTCCTTGAGTATCCCACGATGGTGAATTCTTGGAGATCCACGATGAGGCTTCCACGACGTTGAATCCGGTTAATTTCTCGACGATACTTCCACGACAATGAATACCGTAAATTCCTTGAATATCCCACGAAGGTGAATTCTTGAATATAATTCCGTCGATGTCCTGCGCTAAATCTCCTTGGTGAATTCCTCCGCTGAGGTGTGTGCACGTCGATGGCTGGTAGGCGAGTGTCCCTAGTTAGGTTGCGCTCGCTTCTTTTATACACGTCGTCGACCTCGTGTCTTCGGTGCCGAGGAGTTGTGCGTTCGGTTCGGCTATTCTGTCCCGCCTCTCTCTCTGTCTCTCTGTCCGTCGTCTGTTTGTCCCTAACGGTGCCGTCACGTGCTATTTTCTCCGGTGCTGTCTTATGAATTTTGAATGTCTCATGGTCGCCATTTTGCCGTCTCAGCGGCCATTCTTATATATTTTTTTCCTTTCTCTTTTTTTTCCGATTCTAGGTTGTCGCTATTTCACGATTCACCTGTTGCCTTGCCTTTTTTTTTTCTTTTTTTTTCGAAACTTTCTGGTGCCTTATGGGGTTCTTCCCAACGGGGCTTTAATCCCAGAAAGAATCCTCGCTCAACAATCCCGAGTCCCTGCTCGGGCGCCACAACTCTCAGTCTTCCCCAGAGTCATTTACAAGAATATTTGTAATCTGCCGAGACTGGAGAGTTGAGGACGGATAGTGAGCCACAATGGCTGAACTACCCGCGATTGGGGGCGCGAGGAAACTTGAAATTGGTTAACAAAAAGAAAGCTCGACAACTTGATAACGTAAAACTGAGAACGGAGGCGAATACAGTCCCGCTCTAGCGTATAACGCTCAGAAGCGGGGTAACTATGACACACATGCCCCTCTCGCGGCCACGCCGACCACCACTACGACCCAGCCCTGGTGTATAACACACAGTGCTGGGAGAAACGTGCGATGCCCGGCGCATGCCGCGATCGTGTGCCTAGAGGGCGGTGACCCAGTCTCGGGAATGCCTGTGCGGATCGCCACCTCGACGTGGCGCGCGAGTTATGCAACCAATGCAACCAATGCATCCGTTGTAAATACCCAGCTAGCAACAACAAATGTAAGCAACGTATATATAAAATAAAGCAACATATATATATATATATAAACAGGCATTTGCATATGCCAAGAAATACTTTACAGTTAGTCTTAAGATTCATTCCAAACAGAACAGAAGTCTTTTTATCAATAAAGCAAGAATTATAATATCTAAAGATATTAAGTGTGTTTTTATTGAACTATTACTTAAAGTATATGAACATCTAAAGACAGTTTTGTTTCAGTGATTAACAGTTTTTATTGTACTTGTGTATCTCAAGATATATGAAGTATAGTGCAAAAACCATAACTGGCGCAGCCGAAACCGAACAAGTGCGTTCTATTTAACCGAAGTTAATCCGCATAAACAAAAATAAAACTATAAAAACTGCAACGTATGCATAAAAGAAAACTGTTGGCGTATAAAATCTCTAAGCAAGTGTAAGCACAATTGTGTTTAGTTGACGTTGCCGACAAATTTGTGCAGAAATAAATAAAACCGCAACAGCAAACTAATTCGTGAGTTAGCAGTTAACTCAAAAAGTGACAATTTTATGTACCCAAGGTACTCAACGAACAAAAGCACTATCCATAAATTTGACAAAAACCGCAGAATCGAAAATACAATTATGGAAGAGGAGCTTCAAAATCTAAGAGGAGTCATACTCCAGCAAGAAGCAGCGCTAAACTCACTCAGACAACAACAACAACAACAACAACAACCAACCCAGTGGTTATCGAACAAAGACATCATCCAGCAATTTCGCCAACTACGACAGCTGGATGATCAACATGATGTGTTGGCCTTCATTAGATCAGTTGAATTTCTCATGACGCTGTGCCAAG